ACCAGTGTGCTGGTTCTGTCACGTGAGTGTCATGTACACAGAGATTCTGACCTCAAACTCTCTATAATCAATCCAGGCTGGCCTGAAACATGTGGCCATCCTCCTGCCTCAGCTTCCTGCTAACTCATGTCTAGAAGGAGCCTGAAGATTATGAGCAGGAACAGGACCAAAGGCTGCTCCCAGATGCTTTGGGGGACACCTTTGGGCTCAGCAAGGTCTCAGAGGCCAGGGGAATGTAGCAAGGGACACTCAGTGGAGTGTCCCCATATGATAGCTCAGGGTGTCAACGCCCAGGGTGCTTCCCACACAGTAATATGGGCACTCTGCTCTGTCAGGAATCCAGAGCCACTTCACCCAGTGTCGAGGAGCCCAAGGACTCAAGGACCTACTGCAGCTCCAGTCAATCAAGCCCTGTCTCCCCTAGGCCTATTTCCCCACGTGAGATATGGACAGCTAGGGTACAGTATCACACACAGTCATGCACACACACACTCACGCTATCTGGGTGCACAGGCAACAGAGTGTTGTGGGAGGCACCAGGCAACGGCTGGCAGTGGGCAGGAACTGAGGCCTGTCCCCGAGGTCTGAATTATTCACACACAATGGCTGGCACCCTTACTTACAGCGCAGCCACCGACACCTGCTGGTAGATGATGTGGGTTCCGGCTGCTCTCTCAGTTAATTAAGGGAACACTTGTGCCAGTGACTTCTCAGGTGTGCAGCCAGGCGGCCCCAGGTCTCATCCCGCCGCCTCAGAGACACTGGATCCCCCAGGACCTGCCAGGTGGGTAGGAACAGTGACTGAAGCTTTGCCGGGCTCACAGGTAGGGCTGTTGCCTGTCTGCTACAGGGTGGAGGCAGAGGGGGCAGGCCTCGAGAGCTGCAAGGGCCGAGTCTGGATCTTGCTGGAGGCTGAGCAGAGACCATGCACAGATTCTCTCACCTGACAGAGCTGGGCACAGCCACAGGCACTGTGCGCTGGCAGGTTCTAGCAGGTTCTGGCAACCTTCTAGCGGGGTAGGAGCAACAGCCAACATGAAACATTTACAAAGGCCTTCATAACCATCTGTGCTGGGAACAGAGGGGCGGGCTGTGAGCAACCACAGCCTTTCTGCCCAAGACACCAAGACCAATGATGGAAGACATAGCAGGCCACTGGACCCTGATGGCCCCATCAGGACCAGGTCCTGAACACCAAATAGGGACAAGGGCAGAGTCCACTGGACTTCCATTCTTGACAAGGTCCTCTGAACTGGATTGACTTTTTCTGCCTTCATCCAAGAAATTCCCACGTGCCCCCCCAAACCCTCCTGGAGCATCCTATCCCTCTACCTCGTCTTCCCTGTGAGACACAATCCTCTCTCACCACTGCAGGCAATGGTAGTTCACACGTGGTTTATCTTGGCGAATTTTCCAAAATAGGAGGTGCTCCTGGCCTCTGTTTTGCAAAACGCTGGCTGCAGTGGCTGAGCCATGCATGCAGCTAGCCAGCAGCAGAGCCCGAGCCTGAACCTGGGACGTCTGGCTCGCTTCTCAGCTGCCTCTGGACAGGAACATGAGAAGAGGAGAGAGAGAGAGAGAGAGAGATTGGCTGTTTCAAGAAAGGCGGGTGTCAGGAGCGGCTAGACCCAGTGGATCTGAGAGAGAAAAAATGCTGAGACCTGAGGCACGAGGCAGTCAGCTCAGAGAGGAGCGGGGCAGGTTACAAAACAAAACTGAAACCTGAGCAGAGGCCGCAGTATGATCCTGGGAGGGGACCATGGACTGCGGTTTCTGTCTGCATATCCCCCCCCCATACACCCACACGCTCAAGTGCTGGCTCAGCATGAAGCCCAGCTGCAGGCCTGACGATTATTTCAGGACTACAGGGGCAGGTGGAGAGCTCATGGCTTAAAGCTGAAAATGGCAGGGGGAGGGGGGTACTCGATAGGTATCAAGCAGAAAAATCAGGCTGGGGGACTTTTGGGCCTGCCTGGCAGACTCGGCCACCTGACCTGGACCCAGCCTCCCCAGGGGCCTTGGCCGTCCCACCCCCGCTGCACCTGCTGTGGGGGTGACACCTCAGCAGATTGTTCCCATGGTCCCCAGGGAGAGCAATTGGACACGGAGCAGAGGAGCTGCCACTGTGCTGTGTCATCTACTCTGGGTGGCCAGGGAGGCGACAGGTCCTGCTGGGCCTCCAGGACACAGAACTATCCCCTTCAGGGAACAGGACCACCTGAGTGCAGAGCTAAGACCCATGGGCAGGCTTACCCTTGAGTCAGAAAGAATGGAGTTTGGTCGTGGTTGCCCCATGTTTACATGAAGCTCTAGGTTCAATGGCCTTCATCGCACAAAATGAGCATGGGGTATCCACCTGCAAACCCAGTACCCAGGAGTTCAAGGCCAACTCAGCAACACAGCAAGTCCAAGACCAGCCTGGGCTACATGAGGTCTCACCTCAAAACAAACAACTAAAAGTTAGCTGCGAAGTTAACTGCAGCCTCCACGCCTGGCTGGGGTGTGGGAATTCAGGGTTTTAAAGGCCATCGACCGCCCTTGGGATGCAGGTATGACTTGGGTAATGTCCAGGGCGAGGTGGCGATGACTTCTGCAGCCAGCTCCTCCCTGTACTCGGAGTCCCCCAGGGTCAGCAGGAAGTCTACCAAACAGGAAGTGAGCAAGCTAGAAACCTCAGAGCTCAGAGCACTGAAAACCGGTGTCCACCCTATGCACCAGCGGCAGGGACGAAGGACTGGAGACAACTCCTACCCACTGAGAAGTAACGGACCTGGCAGTACACACGGTGGACCATTACTTGGCCACGAACAGGAACAAAGCTGTAAGGCATGTTGCCATGGTGAGACGTGAAAACACGGTGCTAAAGGCTGATTGGGATGATGTCACTTGTGATCCAAACACGTCTGAAACGGAGGCAGGGGGATTGAGAGGCCAGCCTGAGCTACAGAGTCCTAGCCTGTCTCAAAGAAATGGAGGTGAGACTTTACAGTCTGTGAATTAGATCTGAGTAAAGCTAAAAAAAAAAGTCTAGCCACCCCAAAAGAAAAACCCTGCCTTGCACCCAGCCAGAAACCAGGGCTGCCCACTCGGCAGGAGCTCTGGGGGCAGGGCAGGTGGGTGCTGCCATTCCTTATGGAAGACTGCACTGGTCTGCCTGTGGTGACATTACTGAAGTCAAAACACAGACAGACAAATGCTTGCCTGGAACCTGCACTGAGCATGTGGTCCAGGCTCCAAGGCAGATGCTGAACCACAGGGACCCATCAGTCCCACACTGCTGTGATGCGGTGGAGAGTTAAGGACTTAAGAAGCCTTAAGTAAGCCGGGAACGGCATACCGAAAGATGGGAATAGTGTGTGCAGCGGAATCCTGGCCAGCAGAATCCAAGGAACAAACCATAGTGGGCATGGTTTTGCACAGGAAGAGAAGGGAAGGTGGCAGGCCAAGCCTGCTTGAGGATGGGGGTGAAGGGAGTCCCTTACCGGGACTGCTTCTGTTTGATGTTTGGGGACCAGAAGGTGGGACACCAGAAACCCCAGGCCAATAGTTCTCTGCCTGTCTTCCCAAGTGTCTCTCTGTCCATCTTCAGTAAGCCACTCAGACCTTCAGGCCTGCAGGCCTCTTGTATTCTGAGCAGCCTTCATGTCTCAGTGTAGCTTGTCAAACCCTGCCTGCTCCCTCCTTCGCCGCTCACAGTCGCCCAGGTGGCCTGCTGCAGCCCAGCATGGGGTTTTTTCCCAACGCCCCCAATTTCAAGTTGGGCCCATCAGAAATTCTAGTAGTACAGTACAGCGGCCACCAGGGAAGCCACCTGGATCTTGCATCCCAAAGCCACAGGAGAGAGCTGCTTCTCTGAGTGAACCCCCACTCCCACCCCAGGCCCACCAGGTCTCAGCTGTAGGGTGAAAAATGAAGAAGGGGGACACAGGGGTCTCATGCCTCAGCTCCCAGTCAGCACACACAGGGGTCTCATGCTTCAGCTCCCAGTCAGTACACCCAAAACCAGGCTGTGCTTCCAGACTGTCTGGGCTGCCACCTGCTGCTGTCCCTGTGGCCTCCTTTCTGCTCTGGAGCCACTTGCTGGACAGATCTTAGCAGATCTGTGCCTTCAGTGTCCACACCCAGACCCTCAGGGGGTGGGTATGTGGAAACAGGCTCTCTGAAGATAAATTAATAGAGATAAGTTGAGGGTTGGGGTGTATCTCGGGGCTACAGTGCCTGCCAAGTGTGTATAAGGCCCTGGGACCCATCCCCAGCACAGTGAAAACAAACAACAAAGGTAGGTTTGTACAGGAGGAAGAGCCCTTAGTCCTGTGTGATTGGCATTCATATAAGGAAAGGACTTGTCTGTCCTCAGAGATGAGGACAGGAAGACAGGATGAATCTGTGGAAGCAGAGTTTGGAGAGGCGTGGCCATCATTCAAGAAATGTTGGCCACCACCAACAGCCGAAGGTGGTAAGAAGGAGTCTCTCCTGGAGCCTTTAGGGGCCTTCATTTTGGGCTTGGCCTGCAGGAGTACGGACTTCTGTTGTTTTAAGTCCTATAGTGTGGGCTGTGCAACTTGTTCACTATAGGAAATGAATTCATCGGGAGACACAGCTCTCGCTGGGGCCACTCTGCACAGCGCCCTATCTCCTCTCACCAGAAAACACCAAGTCAGGAGTAGTGACATCTTCATCTGTCATACCGGAGCATGTGATGAGCAACTTCTCAAAGACCAGAAAGTCACTCTGACTGGCCCTGACCATCAGCAATGTCATTGTTCCTCAACTGATGCTGTGTGTCTCTGTGTGTGTATGGGCACCATAACAGTGCAGTGCCCACAGAGGCCAGGAGAGGACACTGGATCTTAACTGATGAGGCAGATCTCCAGCCTTCATTTTTCTCTTTTTCAAGACGTGGTCTCATGTACCCTAGGTTGGCCTTGACCTTGGTATGTATCCGAGGATGACCTTGAACTTCTGACTCTCCTGAGATTATAGGCGTGTCCACCACACCCAGTTTAAGTGGTGCTGGGAATTGAACCCAGGTCCTTTTGCATCCTAGGCAAATACTCTACCATCTGAGCTATAACCCCAGCCCCCATCCTTCAGTTTAAACCATGGCCAGCTGAAGTGGGATTTTCCTCATAGCCTCTGATGCCCATGACTGGAATAAGGTGGTCCTTGGGATTAGAGGAACCATAGAGGAATTGCTACCAACAGACATGGTGAGGGCTGGTTACCCTGTGCCGGTCAGCAGGGGTTGGATATCCTTAGGTATGGGTCTGGGCAATGAGGGGCCAGGGTAGGCAGGGGAGGACCCCAAGGTGGCCCTCTATAACAGCCAGGCTCCCTGGTGTGCCACAGAGGGCGCACCATGCTGGCAACAGGAGCCAGTGGTGCCCCTTCCCTGCTTGCACAGAGCTTGGGCGTGCTGTGTGCCTGCCAGATGGCTGCTCGCCACGTGCCGGAGAATAATCACTGTTAAAAATTCACTGGGTTTTCTTTTCTTTTTTTAGGTTCCGTTTGCACTCTCTGCTCCCTTCTCCAGAAGGTATTAAGCCACTACTGGTGGCTTTAATTGTCTCTAATTAAAAGAAACATCACCTGGGACTTGGGGCTTCTTTACTCAGAGGCTATGGGGGGGCATAGAGTTGGGGGAGGGCACCCTGAGGCACCTGCACGACCTCACCTGGCCCATGTTGCCTGATGGAAATCCCAGGTGTGATGGATGCAGATCACTGGCATCTTGAGCCTAGAACCCCAACAAGCAGCAGTGAGGGGAACCCCAGGGGTAGAGGCATGGAAACAGGGGTCAGCATAAAGGACTATCCGAACTCAGACTCTACACAGGTCACGAGGAAGGAATCTGGGTCCCCACTGTCCCTGCTTGCTAAAAGCTATTGCTGACCCCATCCCCAGGCCGTAGTATCTCCCTTAGTACATGGGTAGCTCAAGATCACAGGGCCACATCTCTGCAGAACCCTGAGCCCTAGAGAGGGGTAGGGTCAGCTGAGGAGGACCATTGCCCCTGTCCTGGGCATAGCTGCAAATCAGCCAGACAGCGAGAGGCATCATGTTCCAGTCCAGCCTGGATGCCCAGGACTAAGAGAATGGCCAGTCCGAGCTGCTGGCCTTCTGGAAGGAGTGGGGGACGGCTGACAGCTGGCCGTTTCTGAGGCTCCCATAGGAGCACTGCAGTCTCAGCCCACAGTCTGAGGTGTCCCTGGGGCAAGAGCAGCCTTAGGAGCCTGTGGAAGGTGGACCCTGGGGGCTCTCCCTGCATAGCCAGGGTGGTGTCCCTTCCTCCCTTATCCGCCCTGGACAGTCCTCCCCTTCCACAGACAAGCAGCCCACTTGAGGGGGCTGGCTAGTATTTTAGTCTTGAAGGTGCTCTCCTTCTAGTCAGGCCAGCTAACTTCTCCCCGTCCCACAGTCAGGAGACAAAGCACTGTCTTCAGAGCCAGGCCCTCATTCTCTTGGCTCCCCACAGACCTGGGATTTAAAAAAAAAAAGATATTTGGTTTCGTGTGCATTCATGCTTTGGCTGCACGTACATCTGTGTGAAAGTGTCAGATCCTCTGGAACTGAAGCTCAGACAATTGCCATGGGCTGCCATGTGGGTGCTGGGAATTGAACCCAGGTCCTCAGGAAGAATAGCCACTGCTTTTAACCGCTGATCCACCTCTCTGGCACCCTAGTCCTGGGATGTTATTTAAAGGATACCTTATTTTAAAATATACGAGCCGGGCAGTGGTGGCACACGCTTTTAATCCCAGCACCTGAGAAGCAGAGGCAGGTGGATAGATCTCTGAGGTCAGCCTGTATTACAAAGCAAGTTCTAGAATATCCAGGACTACATAGAAAAACCCTGTCTCAAAAACAAAAAACAACAAACCAAAACAAGAAAAATACATGGTCTGTGGTGCTGGAGAGATGGCCCAGCAGTTACAGAGCACTGGCTGCTCTTCTACAGAACCCAGGTTCAATTCTCAGCACCCACCTACCAGCTCACAACTGTTTGTTAACTCCAGATCCAGGTGGTCTGGCGCCCTCTTATGGCCTCTGCTGGTATTAGCACTCAGGTGGTGCAGAGACATGCGTGCAGGCAAAATAAATACTTAGAATTTAAGTACACACACTGGCAGGGATGGGTGTGTAGTTGCTAGAGCTCTGGGGAGCTCCTTCCTGCCTTTCCAGCTTCAACCTCAGGGACTCCTGACTCGGAATCACACGCTCTCAGTTCGGCCTGTTTGTCACGTGGCTTTCCCGTGTCCTCTGTCAAAGGACTTGGAGCCTTGTCTTCACCCAAGGTAATTGCATCTTGACTCCCTCATCTGATTCTATCTGTGAAAATCCTCTTCCAAAAAGGCTGAGGTGAGGGTCTAGGTGGATAAGGATCTAGGCTAGGAGCTCTTTGACACCGGCTCCTCCCAGAACTTGTGCTGTTAGCTGTCAATGAGAAACAACGGCTCCCTCTGCAAACATCTGTTCTGATGGTCTGTGGCTGGGTGGGGTGGAGAGGCTGTCCCTCCCACAAAGCTCTCCAGGGCCTGACTGTGGACTGGGGCCTCCCACGGGCATGGAAGGACCTGAAGATCAGCTAGCCCAGCCTGTCACAGAATCGGGATCTTTCCCTGTAGCTCCCATTAGTGTGGTCAGAGGAAATCCAGACAGATGTATTACAGACACCACGGGGGCGGGGAGGGAGGCACCTTCCACAAGGAGGGACACACAGCAGGCAGGTCTGCGACCTCAGCTTCTGCAGTGTCTGGTACCACCTGCAAATGTCTCAGTTCCAGCACAGAGAGGGGCAGTGGCCCTCCGTGAACCAACCAAGGGTACATGGAAAGCCCATGCTCAGGCTAGAGCGTTGGCAACCACGAGCACTCTGCACCCTCTCCCCATCAGGCCCCTTCCATGAAACCTGGGTCACCAAAGTGGAAGACATGCTATACTGTGTGACTCCTGAGATTGCCATAAGCAAAAGTGATGGTCCTCTGGGGGGGGGGTGTCTCTCTGAGGACCCCTGCTCCGAGAGACTGGCCATGTACTATGTCCAGCCAAGAAGACTATGCATAGGGATGAGAGGGAGCGAGAGACCCACAGGTCTGCTCCCACTGTCTGAGTTTGCACACCCTACACAGACAGAGGAATACAGGGTGAATCAAAGAAACCCTACCCAATTACATGTGCGCAAGACCCCACGGGCGTTGCTGGCCATCCCCAGGTTCAGGGGCAAACAAATGTCAATGGCTTCACACTGACTAATTGGAACCCATCAGCTACTGATGGGCCCACAGCTGGCAAGAGGCTGCTTGATGTCATAAAGCCTGTGTGGCTCCAGATCAGAAGGAGTAGTCGGGTGGGGACACAGCTGCCCCTCGTGAACCAGCACAGGGGTCCTGGGTCATAGCTGACTGAGCTGGGAACCCCATGACCTTGAGACTCAGTCTGTCTCTTGTTTGGCTTCTTCCTTCCTTCCTGAGATTCTCTGAGAGGGACTTCTGTTATCTCTTGCAAGCATGGACATGGTTTGTCTGGTTGACTGCCTGGAAGCTGCAGCAGGAAGTGCCTCCTTGAATACCCCACCCGCCCCAGAGTCTGCCACCAGGGTGTTCATGTGTGCCAACCCACACTCAGGATTGGGATCCTCGATGCCATCAAATGTTAGTAGCAGAGCCCAGTCTGGCCTGTGCATGGCAGCTGTGACAGGGACCACAGCTTTCAGAGAGCTCACTAGGCCCTGGGACCCCTTCTGCTTCACGGAAAGCAGATAACCATGTCCGTTCAATGTTCTCATTGCTGTGACAAAATACCGAACGAAAAACAACTTAAGGGACAGTCTAGTGTGGCTCATGGCGTGAGGGTGCAGTCCATCATCGTGGGGAAGGCACAGCGGCAGGAACCAGAGGCAGTTGGTCGCGCTATGCCCACAGTCAGGAAGCAGAGAGAGGTGAATGCTGGCGCTCAACTCACTTTCTCCTGACGCAGTCCAGGACCTCTGCTGGTGCTGCCTACTTTCGGGCATGTTGTTCCCACCTAGTTAACCTGATCTAGAACCCCCCCCCCCCCACAGGCATGCCTGGAGGCTGGGTCTCCTAGGCAACCCTAGAGCCTGTCAGTTTACAGTAGATCACAGCTGCTTTGATTCCTACACACAGCAAACACATTTTCTGTCTCCTGGAGCCCAGGCCCACACCAGCACCCTGATGAGCTCGCCCACCCCAGGGGACTCCCCAGATACCCTCAAGAGCCTAATACTCAAAGTGCCAGCTGAGTAGCTCAGAACAGAAAAAGAGTCATTGGTCCAGCCAAAAATACCATTGGTCTTTATTCATTCAGCAAGCAGTTAGTGGACACCTACTGTATACTCAGCACCTCGTGAAGCTAAGACAACAAAAATGTTCTTCCCTTAAGGGATTAATGATGGAGAGAGACAGGCATATGCCTAATGGCTCCGCTGAGAAAAACCTAGCACAGACCCTGAGGCCAGGAAGAGGGCTCCTTGGAGGAGGCAATGGTGGCATTTGGGCTGGGTCTTGAAATATATAGGAAAGTGAAGAGGCCGGCCCTGCACTGAGGTGGGCCACCTACAGGCCTTAAACTAACAGGCCTGCCGGGGAGTCTTCTAGAGTGGCTGACACAGTCTCCAAGCCACAAATCAGGGCGACAAGAGTCCAGATCACTCAAGCGTCACCCTTCATGGTTCTTCACTGGCATGCCACATATGTTCCTTTTGAACGTGGCACAGAGGAGTCAGGCAGGGCCAAGGTAGGCCCAGGCGTAAACACTGTGAGCTGCAGAGCAGGTAGGGCCATCTTCCCCTGCTGCATCATGGGTAACGAAGGGCTGCCTTTCTAGCCTTGGTGACAGCGACTGTGGATGTGACACCAGGGTGGACTACCAGTTCTCACTTCTCACCGATGCGGACAGGAGAGGGCACCAAGCCGGGGCCAGCCTGTCAGACTAACACAAGGATTGGTGGGGGACAAAGGTGGGGGACAGAATCTGAGTGCCGTTACCCCACTGAGTCAACACTTCCTGTGTAGGTCTCCCCAGTTCCTAGCTGCTCCCCATTGCTCTAGCTGAG